GAAGGCCCCAGTGGCAGGGTCCGCATGCCTCCCCACCACCCATTTCGGCACATCCCTCGCACGTTTCGTGGCCCCATGGGGATTTCCATGGAAGGCCCCAGTGACTGGGTCCGCATGCGCCCCCACACCCATTTCGGCACACCCCTCACACGTTTCGTGGCACCATAGGGAGCTCCACCGAAGGCCCCAGTGGCTGCGTTCGCATGCCGACCCCACACCAATTTCGGCACACCCCTCACACGTTTCGTGGCCCCACAGGGAGCTCCACCGAAGGCCCCAGTGGCTGCGTTCGCATGCCACCCCCACACCAACTTCGGTGCACCCCTCACACGTTTCGTGGCCCCATAAGGAGCTCCACCGAAGGCCCTAGTGGCAACGTTCGCATGCCGCCCCCACACCCATTTCGGCACACCCCTCAAACGGTTCGTGGCCCCATAGGGAGATCCACCGAAGACGGTACTCACACCAGCATTACTCACAACTGCATATGGTTGGGTCCTTCGCCAGGCTAATTTCACACCACCCACTACTGCGTTTCGTGACCAGAGCTCCACCGAGACCCCCAGTGGGACCGTTCGCATGCGTCTCGGAAACCCACTTTTGTATTTTCACCCACCTAATACAACGCTTCGTGGCCCCATAGGGAGCCCCACCGAAGGTCCCAATGCTGCCGTCCGCATGCGTTCCCCACGCCGAGTGCAGCCTTCCGTGGCCCCGCAGGGAACCCCGCCGAAGGTCCCAGTGCTACCGTTCGCATGCGTCCCCCACACCCAGTACAGCGCTTCGTGGCCCCATAGGAAGCCCTACCGAAAGTCCCAGTGCTACAGTCCGCATGCGCCCCCCCCCACCCAGTACAACGCTTCGTGGCCCCATAGGAAGCCCCACCGAAAGTCCCAGTGCTACTGTCTGCATGCGTCCCCCCCCCGCCCCTGTACAGCGCTTCGTGGCCCCATAGAGAGCCCCGCCAAACCCCCTGGGACTGTCCGCATGCGTCCCGGAAATCAAATTTGGCATTTTCACCCCACCCAGTACGGCGCTTCGTGGCCCCATGGAGAGCCCTACCGA